TGCACATTGTTAGCAGTGACAGGGAAGCACCACAGAGTATGTGGGCTTCTGGCTGTTGTGGGTCTAGGATGGGTGCTGACCAGCTTGGGGGAGGTATGCACAGGGGGTTTCCATGCACACCCCACCATAACCGCACTCTCCCCCATACAATCCCACACTGCACCCCCCCCCACTTGTCTGGGGGGGGAGCCCTGCTCACTGCTACCTCCCATCCTCCACCACATGCACGCAACCACACGAACACCCTCAGCCACCCTCTCTCTCCACTTCCCCTACAATATACAGGAGTAAGACTTCATTTTAATCTATTCTGTGGTTACTTCTATATACACCACACATTGGGACAAAAATATATATTTTTAATAAAATTAAAATGTTATTGTCAGTGTTTGATATTTTGTGTGTGTGTGTGTATGGAGATGGAGATATATGGGGCAGGAAGAATCTCTCAAGCTGTTTGGGTATCTTGTCATCCTTTTGTGCCTGACAGGTTTATGATATCAATAAATTAGGTGATTAGAGCTTACAAAATATGTGGCACATGGTGTTTTCACTTAGTGGTCGTGTCCTAGTATGTTACCAAGAGAGATCAAATTGTTTTCCAGGGGTTTGAGTGCATTTACGTCCACTCCACTAGGATTGCTTCTAGTAGTTTACAGGTCAAAGCTGAAGGGGGTCCCTAAAATTCACACCCAGGGAGAAAGGCCAAAAGAAACTAGACCTAGTTGGATACAATGTCTGCCAACATGGAGATATGCATAACTAAATAGGGTTGTCTAAATATGATTCTTTGAATTGGGACAAATGGTCTTGGTTTGTGGACAAGTTATTGCAAGAACATGGAAGGGCATTAAAGACTTTAATGACCAGGGATCAGCAGAGAGCCTGTACTACTCTGTAAGTACATGCTGCTGTCAGCACAGCTATGGCTGTATTTTAAGATCTTCAAATCTCTGGTACTTGGGGATTCCAGTGGAGATTCAGACCACGCTTTGGTGACCTTTTTCAGGGCAATGACTTTGATTTAAAAGCTTGAAGAACTTCAGGGTGCCTGTGTACTTTCTGGGCTTGTATGTTTGAGCTCCACAGAAGAAAATAATGTAAGAAGATATGACTAGGCTTCCTTCAGGCAGCATCTGTTTGTGTACTATTACCTTCCTTCAAGCCACTAAGGCAGAAGTAGAGGTTCCAATGACAATGACCCATTATGTCTTCCTTTTGATATGAACAGACAGTGAAGAGCAAATATGTCTTCAATCAGGTGGCTGATTTGATGTCCCTGGTGCAAGAGTTCTAGAAATTCACAAGGGTGGCTTTATCTGATTTTTAGTCTCTTCTTATTTCCTTTCCTCGTTTGTCTTTAAGAGATTTATTTTTTTTCTCATGGGAAACAGGTACAACTAGAAGTGCTTTCTTTTCTACCCCTACAGCTTTCAGTAATGGATGCTGTGCCCAGGTCCCCACGTTCTAAGGAGGTGTGTTTTAGTCCCAACAAATAATTTTAGTCACTTGTCATGACCAAATTCATCCATGGTTTCAAATTCAGGGTTGTGACTCTGGCCTGTGTATACCCTTTGTTAGTGCTAGTTTGCAGCTCTCATCCGTCAAGATGCCTGTTTTCACACCATTCTTTCTTTTGTCTAACCCACCGGAAATACCTCAGAGCCCTGCTACAAATCTCTCACTAGCAATACATGGCTCTACCCAGTAATATTTCTGTAGTATTGAGGCCATTCGCCCACTTTTTGGCCTTGTATAGAGTAGCAAAGTAGGTCTGGGAGGGACCTCAAGAGGCTAAACGCAAGATCATCCCCATCCAACCTATCCCATGGCTTTCCACATTGCAAGCTTAAAAGCCAGGGCTGTTGACCAAAGCTGGTTAAGGTTGATTCTTAAATTGGGGATATTTTCAGTTAGGTTGAATTGAGAGATTGAAGGAAACAACTGGGAACAGTTGTAGGCCTGTTTAGTAATTTGAGGCATTTGAGAGAATAGCATAGATAATTTGAGAGGTGGCATTGCCTTTTGGAGGGTTATTATTTATAAACTAAGATGCAACAACAGAACCATCAGGCTGTTCTACATCAGAAGAGCTGTCAAGACTTTCATGCAGGTTAGCACGTACTGATTTAAAAAAGTTGGGGCCAACACTACTTTTAGAATTTGGTATCTTGCCAAACCTTCAGTAAACCTTTTAGCATAATCTTGGAGGACATCAGAGGCTTTTTGTGCTACAATATCTTTCAACATCCTATCTAACATCCCTATGGCTTGCAATATTCGCAGAGGAGAGTATCTGCTAACTTTAAAAAAAAGTTGAAGGGAAATGAGCATTCTCAGTGCCTATATAAAAGGGAAGATCATCATGTGTCTATTAGGTAGACCGGACACTCCTTTCACAGTACTCTTTTGACTCTCAGGAGGCATTATCTAAGCCAGTGGTTCTCAAACTTTTTTTTTTTCCACGAACCACTTGAAAATTGCTGAGAGTCTTGGTGGACCACTTAAACTTTTTTTGTTCCAATCTCTGTTGTCAGAAAAAATAAATCAAGTGCAGGGCCAAGTACAGATATTCTCAATTGTTCCGCAACTTTTCTGCAGACCACCTGAATGGAGCTTGCGGACCAGTGGTGGTCCGTGGACCACAGTTTGAGAACCTCTGATCTAAGCCTTATTTATATTTGAGTTGAATAATCCACTGGAGGTCTGAAACTAGAGGCAGGACAAGTATGTGATGATAAAGTCATTAAATGTGGGAGAGGAGGTTGTCAAGTGAGGTATCCATTATAACCCTTCCAAAAAATAATGAAATGGGTGGTACTAAACAATACACTGTCAAGATTTAAACGGATTTGTAATCTTAGTCTTCTGTAGGACCCCCTCATTACTGGCATGACTAGCTTTGGGGATTATAAAGACTATAATTTGGGTTGGATCAGTTGTGGAAAGAAGTACCTAGGGATGAGTATAGAACAATGTCTGTGGAATCATCAAAACTAGGCCTGTAGCTTGCATTTGCATTATAACTATTCCAGATAAAATCTGGTTTGTTAGGATAGTCTTCCTCTGTGGTCTTTTTTTTAGTTGCATGTAAGGTGATCATAAGCATATACAAACACGCTCTGTTAGTAGAAATGCTTCCTGGATGATTCCTATTTCTGTAGTTCTGTAGGATTTATAATAGCTGCTTCCATTCAGGTACGGAGTAGTCCAGAAACTCTGTTTGCTTGTGCAAAAATCCCAATCCAAGATGGTTGTGGTGGGGATTTTTGCCAGAAAATGCTTGGTGAAATATCACTAGGGAGGAAATCTCATTAGTGCATTTTTGGCAAGAGGGCTCTTGGCAGCAAAATTCAAGTGCAGCTGTTGCCTTGATTACCTTCACCTCCTAGATCAGGGGTTGTCAACTGGGGGGTATGCATACCCCTGGAGGTACTTGGGAAGGCCCCAGGGGGTATGTGGCAACAGTGTGGAGAAGGCGGGGCTGGGGCCACCAGCACTTTGTGCCACTTGTGCTACTGTGTGCTATCAGCACTTTCGATTTCGCTGCTGCGCAGGGGTGTGGGGTTCGCCCCTGCTCATTGATCCGCCACCAGGGGACTCCCTGCTTCTTGACAGGCCACTGGGCATACCCCGACCAAGAAAGGTTGAAAACATCTGTCCTAGATTATGGCAATAAAGGCTCAAACTTTTGTGCTACTTCTTACTGACCTTGCTGTAACCAGCAAGAACTTGTGTTCACTGCCCTACCAGTTAATTTTGTGTTATGTGAACTGCAGCTTTTGCCTCCAGCTGAACCAAACAGTGTGGGAGTAGTATAACTAGGGGTGGGCAAGTGATAAGTCAGCTTCTGGTGTTGATTTTAGAGGGGGCACCTGAACGGTGGCCCTCTGGGTAGTCTTTGCTGTGTCAGCAGCAGCTGCCAGGTAGCAATAACATTCTGGCTGGGTTGTGTCCAGGGTGCGAAACAGGGTTAAAAACTCTCCTTTATGCTATCCTGGTAGCTAGTTTGGAGAGTTGGTCTCCTTTTTGCAGAACGCCACAGGCTGTTTTGCTCACCTTTTTTTTTTTTTCCGTACAAGGTGTTTGCTTTTAGTTGCTGCAAATGTTACCACCCTTGCTTCTGTACGCGCATACATGCACGCTCTCTTTGTCCTGGCCAGCTCTGTTTTGCTGCTTGCTCTCTGCTTTTGGGTGTTCTTGCTTGCTTTTGTGACCTTTTCCTTAGAGTTCTTCTGAAGCTCCCTATTTATAGCACTAACAGCAGACAGGGAACAGTGTTTGCCTTCACTGAATTTCAGCCAAGCTGTCTTTCAGCCAAAGCTAACTCTGTGTACTGAGTTTCTGGAGCCATCCTAAAAGGTTGTGTGGAATAGTAAATAATCTTCTAAATCTGAGGCAGTGAGAGCATTTTATTTCTTGCTATGCCTAACATTTTTTGTTTTAGTTTTAGACTACCTCTAGTGTAAAGTTGCAGATCCTGAAGTAGAATTATGGCAAAATTAGCTGTTTGCTTAAACCTGTTTAAAAGCAAAAAGCTGTACTCTGTGGAGTTTGAACTGTGATTGAAGAACACACACACACATTCTATATAAAATTTCTGGTAGAATGTGGATTTGGTTAACCACTGTTGAAAGTGCAGCGGATAACAGACATAACTGTTTTCCTCTGACACAAGCCACAGATCTTTCATCAAGCCATTATGTTAGTTGACAGCCCTTCCTGGTTAACAGCAATCTTGGACCCATTTCTTTCCTTATGCTCTTTAGAGCTCACTTTTTCTGCCATGATTTGAGCTGAAGTGGATATTAAAAGTGATAGGCATATTCTATAAATATCGGTACGCAGTAACCATCCTGTGGATTATAAATATTTTAAGACGAGGACAGCTGAGGATCGCAAATCTGATTGGCAAGATGCTGGATGTGCTACAAATAAAATATCCAGTAAAATATGCCAGTTACCATACCATCAAAAACTAGTTGTGTTTTTCAGTATAGATGTCTCCAAGTCCATCAAAGTAATGAGATCTCTCAAATAGATTGTATTTTTAATCTGCTTTCTGGCTTTGATCTTTTAAGATCCATGTTTTCATCCTTTTCTCTGTAATAGACTAGAGAGCTGTACTGGATCTTCCAAGGTTGCTTCCACCCTTACGAACTAATCTACTATAGACATCATTATTTTTTTATTTCTTTATTTTTTTTTTTATTTAATAATGATCAGAGCTGAAGTTTTAAGATGGAATTGAATAGGAATTAGGTGAGAGAGTGGGATGACTGTTCAAAACCATACTTGGATATATGAATATTTACAGGGGAACTTTGGACAATTGCTTGTCAAGTTTGTGATGGTACACTGACAAGCAAGTCAGACCTTTGGTTTTTAAGAGTGTAGTTCAGTATATTGTTCAGGCTGTAAGTATTTGCGTTGACTGGTGCTAACCAGGGTTTTGTTGGTTTTATGACTTAAACTTCAAAAGGTGTTTTATAGGTTTGATATTGATTACTATTAAGAAATTTCAGCATGTAACAATGGCTCTTGGCAGAAGTGAAATAATCAATAAAAGATGGAAGTAAAATATTCAATTTTTATTAAATTGAAATGGGTAACTTGTGACTGAATGTGGTAAAGGGTGCCTAGGAAGTAGTGATTTTTATGGGTATTAATTAACTTTGATTGTTGTCGTCTTGACAGGTCAATTATGGTACCACCCGCTTGGGCTATTAACCAGTTATCTTTCCTGCTTGGTGCTGGGGGCTGGACCTGATGATCTTCTGAGGTCCCTTCTAGCCTTACAGTCTATGAACCAATCTGCTATAGATGTTGCATCTTATAACATGTTGCTATTAGTTGTTGGAGGCCGTATTGCATTATATTGCCTAAATGGGCTAACAGCCCATTTTACATGTCAGTAGTATCAATAAATCTAATGCAACTAGATTATTACTATCACAAATATTAGTCTTGTTCATCTTATTAACAATCCACATTGTTTTAGTGTTCTTAATGAACAAACAAGTCTTACTCTTTGAGGGTGGGGGGGGAACAATTTGGCAGAATTTGATGCCTACCAGAAAAAATAGTTTAAAGATAATTGGCAAAGTATTCTAAATAAACAGTGCCTCACTATTTAGTCAATCTCCAGTGATTTTGAAACTTGCAAAATATCACTGGCAATCGTTCCTTTGATATCTAGCTACCTTGAACAGACAGGCTAATCTTTTTCTTCCCCTGCTGTTCTTTTAAATCCATCATTTTGTTGATATTCTTCTAAGAAAGGAAGTAATATATTGTAACACTTAGTTCAGATATCAGATTATTTCTAAATATCCTACTGTAGGTATTTTTATAACTAGTATTATAAAACAAACAGTGCCACAAATCCCACTTTTATCCTGGAAAAAGTATATGCTACCTGAGTTAAGTCCTTCAAATGTTCCTTGAAACGTCTACTTTTCTTTTGAAAGAAATACAGATTTTTCTGGTGTGATATTTTTTTTTGTTTTTTTTTGTTTTTTTGCTTTTTAACTAGCTACTATTACAAAGGAAAGAACTGGGAAAAATTAATATTGTACCTTATTTCCTGTTGATTGGGGGAATAGTCATCCATGCACTTTTTGCAGTATACAAGAAGACATATGCTGCCACATGGGAAGCAGTAAAGCTTCCTTGATGTTTTCTGTAAATTACCAGCACTTAGACTTCAGTAATACAATTTTTTTCTGGCTTTGCTTTTATAAAGAGAATTGCTTTAATTGCCCTGCACACCCTGTTTCCTGTAATTAAGATCAAAGCTCTGATGTTTGTTTCTTTCTGCAGCTACCTTGTAGACTCTGGTTTAAAGTTTGAAAGAATCTGTTTCCCTTTGGTTATTTTATCAGATACTTTAAGTGGTATTCCCAGTTACATTTTGAATCATGATTTACACACTGTTAAAGTAGTTATGCAGATGTTCAAAGTGACAGATACCGTGTGGTAGCTTTGGTATGCTGTCTTGTTGAAGTTCTGAATGAATCGAGCTATAGTCTGCTCTATTCAATGTTAGTCTAATTTTTTGATTGTGAGAATGAATGGATTTATACTCTTGACTTTTTCCCTTGTTCTCATTACTAATTTAATTTTTTCAGTTGTGTTGGCGTAGAGGAGCACCATGCTGTTGACATTGATTTGTACCACTGTCCTAACTGTGCACTTCTTCATGGAACCTCCTTAAGTAAGTATTAAGTGTTCAGAGTTTAAATTTGAATTACCATATGCTTTCCTTTTTAATCTAAAATTTGAAAAAGATTATTGAGAAGAACTTCCCAATAAATGTGATTAACAGGCTATGTTTAATATTAAACTTAAAAAAAATAGTTAAGAAAAATAAAAAAGCTCTGGAAGGTAACTCGATGCCTGGAGGCAGGTGTGTGCGCAAGCATATAGATAACCCAATTGTTATATTTTATAGTTTTATTTGATTAAAGCAAAAGTAGAGAAATTTTACAAGAGTAGTTGAGTGCCCAGAGCCAATAGGGAGAGGTACATATGGTGGAGTACTTGGAACTTGGGAAGGATTGAAGATCAGTTTCTACTTTCAAATTGGAAAAACTCTGAATTAAAAGAAGAGCCCAGCAGGACCCATGTCTTCCCCTTCTTGCATGAATGACAGGATTTACATAAAGGCAGTCCAATGAAGTGTTGAGAGCTACAACCTAAATTGGATCTCGCCACTTGTGTCCTTGGAACTTTTGTTCATGCTTCCTCGCATTCCAGAGTTTGATTTGCACATAAATTTCCACACAGGGTCGCATGTAATCCTGTAGCTTCTTGGAAATATAATAAAGTGCTATTCAAATAGGCAGCAGAGAGTTCTTTTCAGCCCCGTTCTCTCCTCATGGAATCCATTTGCAGCATAAGTCATAAGTGGAATGCTGGAAAATCTCCCTTCTGGTAGTATTTGATGTTAATGTCAGCAATAGAAGTTAACACTATTACCTTCGTTAATAGTAAACCAGATGAAAACACAGCTTTGCTAAAATAACCATGTGCTTAGACTGGAGAACAGAAGTAGAAAGAAAAAAAAATTAAGAACTGTTTCTGCCAGTAGATGTCAAATGAATGTTATTCCATTCAGCTCCTTGATTTCCCCTGCATGTTTAGCATCTATGCCTAAATGAAGCAAGATGAAAATTATTATAGCCTGTTCAACAGTGAATTATGGTTTGTGTTCTTCCTTCAGAAGTAAAGGAAACATTCTGTATGCAGTACCCTTCTAAGCTTGAGTGAAGTGCACCATGTGTGCAGTTTGCCTGATGATGTTATAGGCATTTCTAGCCACAGATGGATTAGGCTGAACCTTTTCAGAGTAGCTGAATTTGTTTTAAACTACTTTGATTTTTTTTGCTACATCTTGTCTGTGTTCTTTCAAGGTATTAATGAAATGATGAGGCCTTCTTTTTTAATGAGGTAAATATGTCAATTTTTTGAGAAGTAAATCTGATAGACGTGCTATTGTATATTGGTTACTTAATTGTGTGGTTACATTGGCTGAAGAATCATTTCCCTTGTTCTTCACATGTGCACAACTAGACGCATGGAGTTTCTGCAGTCTGAAAGAGGAGATGTGGTATTTGTTTTAACAAGAAAATTAAATCTTTACTTTTTATGAATTTGAAGGGAAGAAAATATTTTTTCACTTTTTTAATTCTAATTTTGTGGAGGTGGCAGTGGGCAGTTGTCTTAAATACTGAAACAATAACTTTTCCCTGTGTTAGGTAGCATTGGATGAATGCTTCAGTCAGTTACTTCCTACCTTGTAAGCCTGACTTTTGTGCAATACTACTTTTAAATTTCTTGTTAGTGTGTTATATACCAAAATTTGCACATACTGTATGCTGTTACACAGATTAAATCTTAGTATTGTACAAGTTTAAATATTTTGGTTTTTATAAAAATTACTGTTTATCAATCATGGCAATTCGGCAGAGGATAGATGGATAAAAGGAACGTCATGAGGTTCTTTAGGAGAAGTGCCAAGTCCTGCACTTGGGACGGAACTACCCTACGCACCAGTACAGGCTGGGAACCGACTGGTGGGACAGCAGCTCTGTAGAAAAGGACCTGGGGGTAGGGCTGTGCGAAACAGCAGCATTCCCTTATGATGTTTTGATGGAACAATGTTGCGTTTTGAATTTTTTGTTTAGAGCCGAAACAGCTGGCCCATTCTGTTCCATTGAAACAGTTCCCCCTTTCGACATTTTGCCCATAGGATATAATGGGGAAGGACAAAACAGCCTATAACTTTGTCATTTCTTCCCTGATTTGGATGAACCTTGCAGGTGTGCTAGCCCCTTCTGAGGGCATGAAGCCTGCCAAGTTTCAAGGAGATGAGTGCAGGGGGTTTGGAGAAACGGCACCCCAAAGTCTTGAAAGCAAAACTTGTCACATGTATGTGTTAAGCCACAGCAGAGTCAAAACTGCAGGCATCCTAGCCCCTGTGGAGGCCACAAAGCCTGCCAAATTTCAGGGAGATAAGTGCAGGGGTTTGGGGGAAACTACCTCAAGCTGAGGACAAGCAAAACTCATGACATGGGTGACACTGTGTCAAGGCACAGCAGGGTGAAAGCTGCAGGGATGGTAGCCCCTGCTGAGGCCACAAAGCCTGCCAGCTGTAAAGGAGATTGGTGCAGGAGTATTCTGGGCCCTCCACCCCTAGCTGCTGACAGGCAAAACTCGTGACATGGGTGCTTGTGCAACTTGATTTTTTTTGCTACATCTTGTCTATATTTTTTCAAGCTAATAATGAAATGATAAAGCCTTCTGTTTCAATGAGGTAAATATGTCAATTTTGTGCATCTCAACTGATGCATTTCCAGCAAAACTAACCCTCTGCACCAAGCAGGAAAGACAGCTGGGGGTCAGGTGGCCCCAGCAAGGTGACTGTCTAGTCTCCTTTTGAAGATTTCCAGGGTAGGTGATCGCACCACCTCTGGAGGGAGCTTATTCCAGTCTGGCCACCCTAGTTGTGAAGTAGTTTTTCCTAATATTGAGCCCGAAACTATCTTCCAGGAGTTTGTGACCATTACTCGTAGTTTTCCCCAAGGGTGTCCTGGGGAACAGTTGTTCACCGAGCCCTAGATGTACGCTTCTGATATAGTGGTAAGCTGCTATCAAGTCCCTTCTTGCCTTTTTTTCAGGATGAAGAATCCCAGGTCCCTCAGCCTTTCCTTGTATGGCTTGCCATGCAAGTCTCTGATCATATGAGTGGCCCTTCTCTGGACTCTCTCAAGCTTTACCCCATCCCTGGTAAAGTGCGGAGCCCAGAACTGTACGCAGTACTCCAACTGCAGTCTCACCAATGCTGAGTGGAGCAGGAGAATCACTTTTTTGCAGTGGTTTTTTTGGTTTTGCTGGAGATGCATCAATTGATGCATGCCAGGGTATTGATGGCCCTGCTGGCTGCAGCATTGCACTCCTGGCTCATGTTCACACTGTGGTCAATTATTACTGTGGTCTCAAGTTGCAGCAAGAAAAGTTTAAGTTAGATATTAGGAAAAGCTTTTTCACCAGAAGGGTAATAAAGCACTGGAACAGGTTACCCAGAGAGGCTGTGAAGTCTTCATCCTTGGAGGTTTGTAAGACCCAGCTAGACAAAGGATGATCTAGTTGGGAGTGGAAGGAAAGGGGGGGAGGGAGAAGGTCCTGCTTTGAGCAGGCACTTGAACTAGATGATCTCCTGAGGCCTCTTCCAACCCTAATTTTCTATGATCCAGCACTGGAAACAACTCAGGCTAGCCTACTTGTTTGACTGTATTGAATTAAACACAATTAAAAAAAAAAAATTTTGGAATGGGCTAAGTCTAGTATTAATGCATAACTCAATGGCAATGAAACATGGGGATATGTTCAGCTTGAGGCAGTAGGACAATTTAATAGTCTAATTCACCAGTAATATAATGGTAATACAGCAGTATGTATACCATTAATACAACAGGTAATTGCATTTTTTTCAGATCTTTTTCCACTTGAATTTATTTCTGAATCCGTGTAGTTATTATATGGATTGCAACATGCTGTCTCAGCACTCGCACCCAGGGGTGCGTGGCACATTAACCTGCTTTTGCATGAGCATGCTGGTCCCCAGTATCCTGTCTTGCACTAGCAACTTGTTATCCAGAGGTATTCTGCAAAAAATGGTTCAGGTGTGTTTGATAGGAACATAACCATTGTTTACAGCTTGCCAACCACATTGGTCAGCTGATGGTAATGATGGATTAGGCTTTGATATTTGGCTTGATTTACATGGTGCACAGGAGAGTTGTATGTAGGCAGAAATTTATCCAGAGCTTTTCCTTGATGGAATAATTTCACTTTAACATCCAGAAGGGTTGTCAAAGATGTTGATGACTGATAACAGCAACACAACAGACTCTTCTACACAACTGTACAAATCCTTATCAACATTGGGCCTACTTCCTAGTTCTATCCAATAGATGTAGATGTTGAACAAACGCTTTCTAAGGAGTTTTCTTAGTGTGATCACTGAACTGGCTGGTGGTGTCACAATCAGTGATGCTGTGGAGTCCAATTAGAAATGTGTGGACTGGCTCAAGCAATTCTGACACAATATCATGAACTAGAATGAATCTCTTACTAGGTTGCTTCTCTTTATCCAAACCTTGGGCGCAAGATTGTTATAGAATGGTGTTTCTCAATCCAATCTTATGAAAGGGTCACAAACGAACTTTAAAAATGGATTATCCTTTAAAGGAGAAAAACGTGGGAAACGGTGGGTTTTTCCCTTGCAGGTTGGCAGAGGTTCAGCCTGCAAGGGGTGCTTGGGGTCCACCGTACCCCACACACTGAGCTGGGGGCAGGAGGCAGTGGGTCAGGAGTGAGGCGCACTGTCAGGGCTGGCCATCAATGTTTGTAAATGGGTCCTGGTACAAAAAAAGGTTGAGAACCACTGCCATAGAAGAAGGACCACTCTATACGTGTCATTGCAGGAAAGTACCAGATAGGAGTATCTCTGACTGTATGGTTGCCATGTAAGAGCATTCTTTTTTCCACCTCATTCTTGCTGTGACTGAAGTGTGAAGGGTCACGTGAGTTGTAGTGCTCTGCTTTTCCATCGGTGAAATTATTACCAATCATGTACTTTGGAAACATTGGCACAATTCCTTAAGAAGCTTCTCACTTAAAAAATTTACTAAGTTTTCTTTGTTTGCTGGT